GTGTGTGTGTGTATGGTGTGCCTATGCATATGCATTACTTATTAGATTTATTCATATCACAGTCCAAGTTCTCAGCAATTAAGAATGACCATATGGTAGTGAACAATATACACACATCCACTCACTCTCGCTCTCTCATTTCTAAGCTATGCACCCCCAGGACAATTTCAGTTTTCATCAGTTTGTGAGCTTTTGTTTATTTAGGGTACGATGAGAACATGACAAAAAAAATAAACATAGGCACACAATCCATGTAATTATACACAAAACTTCTACGGAGCTACAGCAGTGGCCCCATAACTGGATATTCAATTCAGCTATTGGAATATACAGATTTGCAATTTACGTTGTTGACAGTTATAATATCTCTCCTCCAATTATTAATTCAACTACCAATCAGAATGGCTTCTCTCCATCCAGAGAACTAGAGTTTGCAAGATAAGAATCTTATATTAAACACAATTTTGGGTTCACCCTACCAGATGTCATTATCCAACAAGCTCAGGATAGCACGATAATTAGAGGACAACATGATAGGCATGAAAAAAAGAAACCAAAACAGAAATGACTTATTTGAGAACGTTTCCACTCCCAAGGGAGAAGCATCGTAAATGCAAAACTGCAACAAGCTTGTAAGAGTTGTGGCCAGGAGATATTTAATTTGCATCTCACAGGCTGTTTTGATATCCAACATGCTTTTTTCCCCTCCCTCTCTTCTTGTGACTGAATCTTCTGAAATGTATTGTTTCTGTACCTAAATCAAGAAGCCTGTTTTTGTTCTCACCTTGCAGTTCTTTAGGTAATAACTTGTTGACTTTCTTATGGATGAAATCCTGGTTTGCAGCCGGCCGGGTTTTTCGTCAATGTACTGTGATTCCAGAGGTGGGGCGTTGTAAATGGGAAGCTGCAAAAAAAAAGAAGGGACAGACGGTGACCAAAGGTTTGCCTGCGGTAATGAAAACTGAGCCTCCACTCCATTATCGGTGGTATTTCTTTGCTCCTCATTCAACAAGGATTGGCCATGAGATTATTGATTAGAATGAATGGGAGTGGTGCCATAGATTTTGCAGTCCAATGGCTCAAAGGAGGTGTCCAAATCTGTCTCTTGTCAAGCACAAAGAATCAGGGCCACATGCTAAGTTCCAGTTAAGCTGATTTATTGCTCACGTCTATTCACAAGAGTCTAGTCAAGCACCAAAGGGTTAGCACTCAACAGATAAAGAGTCAGTGGAATTCAAGGGGGACTGGATTTGGACTGTTTGTGGGAATGTAATGATTCAGGCTTATTCCTCTCTTGACTCCACCTTTCCTCCTAGTCTAAGTCATTTAAAGTCATTTTTTCAATAGCGCTACCCTTCCCGAGTGATTCACTGTTTTCATCCCTCTTCAAAGAGATCCAGTGTTTTTTTCACACCACTAGGCTGAGAATGGGGAATGCTAATCATTGACCCATCCTGATCTGCTATAGGTTCTGGAGTTAACAGAAGTCCATCAAAATAAATTAGTAGCAAGCCAACCTTCCTCCTCATTCTTTCTTTACATGTTGTGCTTTTATCTGGTTTCATAAGAAATTAAAAAAACAAAACACTTGAGTGATTGAGCAGCACGGCCATGAAGCCATGATTCTCTCAAAAGAAGATCCTTGAAACCCTGGAGTTAGGAGCTGGGGTGAGGAAGGATTCTTCCCGGGGAGTATCAGTGTAGCTTTTTGGGATTCAGAGCTGCTGTAAACAGGAGTGAAATCTATATGTATATAAAAGCGAAATACCCCTCACGCATCATCACAAAATCTCCAGAACTGTAAAACCTACAAACTTGAAATTTGGCAGGTATGTATCTATTGGCTTCTAGGTGCTCGCTAAGAAAGGATTTTTCGAAATGACCATCAGAGCATTAGTATTTCGTATATTATTATTATTAACACGCTCTGATGCTAAGGAGTTCTACTCCCTCTCCCCACCTGAAAAGAAATCTCTTCCAAATGCAAAACACAAGCAGAGGAGTTTCAGTTTCAGTCTCAAAGCACCAAGCAGTTTTAGTACAGAACAGTTGAGCCAAGCCACACCCAGGCTCCTTGCTGTCTCCTTCTTGCTCACACAGCAAATACTCTTTCAGTTTCCAAACAGCCCTCAACTCTCACACTGATGCTGGTAGGCAGAGGCACAATTCCCCTCCCCCTTATTTTCCTCCCCAAACACTAAGCCCGATCACATGGTTTCGTAGCGAAGCACAGGTATAGAACTAGTATTATATATTCACTTTTGGTGATCTTGAGTTCAATCTGCAAGAGGTCATTACAAGAAGCTTATTACTTGTTGATTACTTTTACTTATTATACATTACTTTTCTCTTAGGATGCTGTATAATGATCCACAATGCATATTTAACTGGCATATGGGTAAATAAATACTGATGCATAATCTTTTTGTTTTAAACATAATTCCATGTTTTCAGGCTACTATGCAAGACCTTTTTCCTGAAATGTTAACTACACAACACAAAACCCAAGTGATCTTACGAATCTCACTTGATGTGCTTTAACCCGGCGGGATTTCTGTTCTCCTTCGGCTGCGTCAAGTGCATGAGTAGAAGTCCATGCTAGAACTGTAGGAAGAGCTGCCCATTTAGCGACCTGCTGTTACAAGCAGAAGTCAAGAGAAATCAAGGAACAAATTCAATACCACCAGAAAAACAGCTTTTGTTTCTCAACATTCAAGCTAACATCAAGAAAACTGTTATGCCCACATTCCTTTTTAAGCTGGGAATGCTGGTTTATCCAATTTTTAAATGACCCTTTAATCCCTTGTTATGGGGTACAGTTGGGGCGACTGAGTGGACCTGAGCATTTGTTGGCCAGATGCCCTTGCTTCGGCATCAAAGATTGTAATATTTTTATTACCCACCATCCATCCAGTCAGAGCTGAAGAAGCTCCTTGGATAAGAAGCAAAACATCTTCAAAGAAAAACCAGAAAGTCCGGTTGCCTCCTGAAAAAAACCCACCTTTGGAACAACAGTTGGAGGATTGTATTTTACAACACTTTTGCTGGAAAGATAGATAGGTAGATAGATAGAGATGGAAAGGAATGGAATGGAGAAAGGGAAGGGAAAGGAGGAAAGAAGGAAAGGAGGAAAGAAGGGAAAGGAGGAAAGGAAAGGACAGGAAGGTAAAGGAAGAAAGAAGAAAAGCCCAGGCTCCTGCATAGCCTGATCTCATCGTTTTGTCATGAAGAACGGCTATCCAGCTAGTGTGATGATTAACTGAAGGCATTACTTATTTACTTGCTAGACTTATATCCTCGTATATTTTCCTTCTTTCTGTGAAGGAACTCAAGACTTCCTTTGATTTGGACACAGAAGTTACGTAGAGAAAGTAAGAGTGAAATTTTACGTTTTTAGCAACAGCCCCACTGGGAATAAGAACAGAGGCCCAAGGAATTAGTCCATCCTGGGTTTCTTCTTCACCTTTGCCAGAGAGAACTTCCAAAATAGTGCTTCCAAAAGAGATATGTCAAGCACAAGTATCAGAGGGCAACCTATACATTAATGTTTTGTAAGAGAATGATGCCTTTTTCATCCAATCAATCTGAAGAGTTGGAAAGAACCAACGCCCTGATCAAGCACGACACCCTATACCAGTGGCGGCTAACCTTTTCGGGCTCCTGTGATGATTTCCGCCATGCGTGCCATAGGTTTGCCATCACGGCCCTATACAGTTTGCGACAAGCTTGCTGTCCAGTCTCTTCTTAAAAACCTCCAGTGATGAAGCACCCACAACTTCTGAAGTTCCACTGGTTAATAGTCCTCACCATTAGGAAATTTCTCCTTAGTTCTAAGTTGCTTCTCTCCTTGATTAGTTTCCATCCATTGTTTCTTGTCCTGCCCTCAGGTGTTCTGGAAAATAACTCGACCTCTTCTTCATTGTGGCAGCCCCTCAAATATTGGAACCCCTAGTCCTTCTTTTCTCTAGACTAGCCATACCCATTTTCTTCAACTGTTCTTCATATGTTTAATCCACTTTAATGGCAAAATTACTTTTTTTTTGGGGGGGGGGAGGAGGGGTTCATTAGAAACAGGAATGGAAACTTTCAACACTGATTTGTTTTTGCTTTTTTTTTACTTTCTCATTTGTACATACGTTTTCAATCTTATTTACATGGTAAGAATTGTAGCATGACGGCTGGAATTGGCTGAGTCCACGAATGACACTAATTGCTTTGAGATGTCTGCTGAAAGGAACTGGGCAGTGACTAACCAAATGCTCCTGTAATAGATTTCGCTGCCCAGCAATTATTTCGAAGCAATTTTCTTAACACTGATTGATGTAAAAAAAAAAAAAAATGTTAAAAGACCCAGCCAGCCTGTCTGTCTGAGGAGGGGGGCATATTATTAGGTCCAGATAAAAAGTGAGGTTATTGGATTATGTTTAACTGTCTCTCACTTAGATTGAATTAAGTTGATATGATTAAATAATGCTCTCCAGTCATCAATAATTACAATTCAGGGACAGGAAACAGAGGTTTTGCAAGCTGCAAAGTGTAAAGAATTATGCTTCCAATTTTGAAACCATGTTAGACAGGGAAGTAAAAAAAAATCTATCCTAAAACATCACCAAAAAACATTTTCTTGGGCTGATTAAGAAAATAGCTTGGATATCAAAGCTAGAACAGAACGACAGAGTTGGAAGGAACCTTGAAAGGTCTCCTAGTCCAACCCCCTACTCAAGCAGGAGACCCTATACCATTTCAGACAAACAGCAGTACTGCACTCTAACCACTGCGCCACCGTGGCTCACATAATGCCTGGCTTTGGAGCAGGCTTTTCTTTCTTTCCTTTTTATTAAAATAATCTAATAGGGAATCAATGCAGGCGAAAGAATGAGACCCACACAAAGTATGGGCAAACAAGTTGTCTACCCCAGGGGTCCTCAACCCCCAGTCTGTCGACTGGCACCAGTCCGTAGCATGCCAAGAAACTGGACCACGCAAACAAGTGAAGCCCCATCTGTGGAGTGCAGGTAGCATAGAAACCACGCCCCCTTTGGTACATGGAAAGATCTTTCTCTATGGAACTGGTCCCTGGTACCCAAATGATTGGCGGCCGCTGGTCCACACCCACCATTATTCTACTACTGTCAATCACGGCAATGTGAAGGGTGTCACACAAGTATTACAGCATCGACTGTATTTTATTTGGATCTTTCATTTCACTCTAGATTCCACAAAAGCGCCGGAAGCATTTGTAACAAGCACCGGGTCTGATACACATTTTACGAAGCTCCTGTTTCTTCCTTTTTCCATTTTTTTTGGGGGGGCACTGCTGGCATTAACAAAGGAGATGCATCTTTTACCAGGAAAAAAAAGTTTGTACAACTGAAATATATATGTACTGTCAAACATAAGCAGCAGCTGAAAAAATTGACATTTAAACAAATAATCTGGTGAACTGCATGTTGGAGAAAAGATTCAAAAGGAAAATACCTGGAAGATTCAAAACACAGAATGGCATCTTGAAAACACCTTATCACCGAAAACAGGAACTTGTGCAGTATTGATTCAAGAGTGCCCGATGCTAATTTTGTGAGTTTTAAAACAATAAGGCTCTCTTTTGACACATGGTTATAACCTTTGCTTGATGAGCAGCAACCACTGTCTTCTACATCATAAAATATGAATTCTTAACAGATTCCCTTAGCTCCAGGCTTGTCAAAACAGACACAGCTAGAGAAAAGCTGCAGAAAAAAGCTTCTAGAATGACAAACTCTCCTTTCTACTTATGACTATAACTTTGTTGCTTGTATCTTTACGATTTATATTGTTTCCTAGTATGATTTATGTTGACTGCTTGTTCAGTATCCTATGACTATCACTAAGTGCCTTATGATTTATGATGTATTTTTATGACGATCATGATTTATCATATATCTTTTATGCACACTGAGAGTTTATGCACCAAAGACAAATTCCTTGTGTCTCCAATCACCCTTGGCCAATATTCTATTCTATTTTCTTCATTTCATTATTCTATTCTATTCTTTCTTCATTTCATTATTCTATTCTATTCTATTCTTTCATTTCATTATTCTATTCTTCTATTCCATTCCATTTTCTATTCTATTCATTCCATTCCATTTTCTATTCTATTCTATATTAGGGAGTGAAGTTTGGTCAGGAATCTCAGAAACATCCCAAGGATGTCAGGGTTACACCTGGAGGCAACATCAGTGGGATTGCACATGCTCTGCTGCCCAGCATCTTCAGGTACACCCAAAAGGTCCACCTTTCCAAACGGATACGGAGGGGCTGGAACAAGAAATCAGCAATGGAGCCAAGCTTGGGAAGGCACAAGCTTTGCCCACCCTTCCTCATCCATTGCAATGCCACTCTTATTTCTTTCACATCCCCACATTCAGGGAAGGAAGGGGCGAGGACTGCAGTAGGGCATAGGACAAATCCTTCTGCACATGGTCAGAGGTCCACTCGCCTTTTCCACCCCTTCCTCCCTCTCTTGGGCCTCTTTCTGCAGGACAGAGTTCCGACTTCGTGGCTGGCGGGAGAAAAGAGCAAAGATCAGGAAGGGGCCATGCTGGCTGACTCAGAGACCCCGTAGGGAAACATGCTCAGGCACCCTTTGAAGCCTAGAACCACTCATTTCAGTTGAAAAGCAGGAAAGGGCTCCCTTTAACGCTGGGAGGCCCCGTCTTGGATCCCGAAACGAAGAAAGGACGTAAAAAAAGGGGTTTCCAGCAGCCTCGAAAGTCGCCGGAATTGGAGACCGGAGAGGCGCGACGCAGCCAACTCACCTTGGCCGCCATTTTGCCTCTACCTCTTTCGCGCGAGAGCCGCCCAACCCGGAAGAGGGGCGGCGCTGTAGGAAAGCTGGCCCAGGATTGGTGAGGCGGAGGAGTGGCGTCAGAGTGACGTCACCCGGTGTTTTCTCTCCCCCCCCGCCCTTAGTGGCAGAGGTTTCCCGCGCGGAACTACATCTCCCATGATCCCCCAGAAGCATGGGTCAACCACTGTGCCATATTGCTCACGACAGTATATTACGCTACAGTAACTATGAGGAGGAAAAGAAACAAGAAGGGAGTTTTTTTTTTAAATTCCCGAGGATGGAAGCCCCGTTTTTTAATTGGTGGGCTAAAAGAGTGTTTTTAAGCCTTGGCAACCTTTAAGAGGTGTGGACTCCCAACTCCCAGAATTCCCCAGCCACACCTGTTAAAAGTTGCCAAGATTTAAATATACTGCAAGATGTGTGAACAAAGACAGACAAAGGTGTCAGCGTCAACAATTTCTTTTCTTTTTTTCTCCTTGGCTCCAGCCATTGATACATTTTACTCCAGACTTAATAGGATTCTGTCTCACCCTTATCCTTAATTTCTAGAGTTAGTCTGTCCATCTCTGCACAGACTAATATTTTCCTTATTATTTCGCTTTCTAGAATAGAATAGAATAGAATAGAATAGAATAGAATAGAATAGAGAATAGAAGAAGGAATTAGAATAGAATATAGAATAGAATAGAATATAGAATAGAATATAGAATAGAATATAGAATAGAATAGGATTACTTTATTGGCCAAGTGTGATTGGACACACAAGGAATTTGTCTTGGTGTAAATACTCTCAGTATATATAAAGAAAAGGTACATTCATTAAGAATCAAGAATCAACATACAACACTTAATGATAGTCATAGGGTACAATCAACAATCAAATCATACTAGGAAACAGTCAAGTGGGAGGGGATGGGTGATAAGGAGTGGTGAGAAGATTAACAGTAACAGTAGTGTACACTTTGTAAATAGTTGAACAGTGTTGAGGGAATTATTTGTTTGGCAGAGTGATGGCTTTCGGGAAACTGTTCTTGTGTTTAGTTCTGGTGTGCAGTGCTCTATAGCGTCGTTTTGAGGGAAGGATTTGAAATAGTTTATGTCCGGGAATGTGAGGGGTCTGTGAATATTTTCACAGCCCTCTTTTTGACTTGTGCAGTATACAGGTCCTCAATTGAAGGCAGGTGGGTAGTAATTTTTTTTCTGCAGTCCTAATTATCCTCTGAAGTCTGTGTCAGTCCTGTTGGGTTGCAGATGACAGACTCAATAATTCCTCTGTAGAACTGGATCAGCAGCTCCTTGGGCAGTTTGAGCTTTCTATAGGGGTATCTTCATTCTTCCAGTTTTGGGCATACACCAATCTCGCAGCAGTTATTATATGTAACATTAAATATATTGTTCCTTTACTATACTCCTCCTCTATAATTCCCAATAGGAACATTTCTGGTCTAAACTCTACTTTTTGCCTAACCATCCCTTCCATCTATACCTTTATTTTCTACCAGTATTTTTTTGCTGTTACACATTTCCACCACATGTGATAATAGGTCCCTATCTCCATGTTGCTCTTCTGAATTTTATATACACTACATACCTGGGAACAAGTCCACCCTAAAGTCATGATCTTACTTTTCATTTGGTATGTAAATGGTAGCCAGAAGGGTTCTTCCACAGTTGTCATCGGACATTGACAATCATGTTGGCGATCCTATTTTTATCAACAGCCACACGAAAAAAGTGCTGCTGAGTTTTGTCCAAAGCAGTCCCTTAGATTTTGAAGCCATGATGTTCTTCTGCCTGGACCTCATTTGCCTTCAACCTTTCCCTGGAGGATTAAGTGAAGGATGGCGTATTTTTCCAGGTGTCGCATCCCATGCCTGAAATATTCTAACTTTTGCTTTTTTTATGGTTTTGATGATTTCCCTTGGCTTTCCATTGCAGCTTATCACCTCCTCATTTCTGATTTTGTCAACCCAGCTTATGTGTACTGGCTGCCTATAAATCCACATTTCAAATGCTTCTGGTCTCTTCAAGTGGCTTTCTGTCAAGGGACCAACTCTCCACTCTGTAGAGCAGGATAGAATAGAATAGAATAGAATAGAATAGAATAGAATAGAATAGAATGAGTTGGAAGGGATCTTGGAGGTCTTCTAGTCCAACCCCCTGCCTAGGCAGGAAACCCTATACAATTCCAGACAAATGGTTATCCAACATCTTTTTAAAAACTTCCAGTGTTGGAGCATTCACAACTTCTGGAGGCAAGTTGTTCCACTGATTAATAGTTCTAACTGTCAGGAAATTTCTCCTTAGTTCTAGGTTGCTTCTTTCCTTGATTAGATTCCACCCATTGCTTCTTGTCCTGTCCTCAGGTGCTTTGGAGAATAGCTTGACTCCCTCTTCTTTGGGGCAGTCCCTAAGATGTTGGAAGACTGCTACCATGTCACCCCTAGTCCTTCTTTTCATTAGACTAGACATACCCAGTTCCTGCAACTGTTCTTTATATGTTTTAGCCTCCAGTCCCCTAATCCTCTTTGATGCTCTTCTCTGCACTCTTTCTAGAGTCTCAACATCTTTTTTTACATCGTGGCAACCAAAACCGAGTGCAGTATTCCAAGTGTGGCCTTTAAAGTGGTTAGAAAAGACGTAGCATCTGACAAGACTGATCTTAGGCTAAAGTCGTTTAACATACGAACTAAAATGATGCCTAAATCTTCAAGAGGCCTATGTAATAGAGGTAGCCCTCAACTTGCAACCGTTTGTTTAAAGTTACAACAACACTGAAAAATGAATAACCTACAACTGGTTCTTGGGTTTATGACTGTGACAGCATCTCCATGGTCATGAGATCAAAATTTGGACAACTGGTATGCATTTACATTGGTTGCAAAGTCTCAGGTCCCATGATTGCTAATTACAACCTTCCTAGCTGGCTTCAGGCTAGCAAGGTCAATGGGGCAAACTGGGTTCACTTAACGACCGTATGATTCACTTAACAACTGCAATGACCATATGATTCACTGAAGAACTGCAATGATTTGTTTATCAACAGTGGCAAAGCAGTTTGTGAAATTGGGCGTGACTTACTTAACAACTGCCTTGCTTAGCAACAGGAATGCTGGTCTCGATTGTGGTCATATGTTGAGGACTACCTACAGTGCTTGACAAATGGGTTGCAGGAACGAAGCCTTCTTCAAGGACCTAAAGTGCTAAGGAAAGAAAGACGAATCTTTGAAATGCAGAGAATTCCATTTATTGAAGTCCAATGTACAACTGAAGTTTTACAACTTTTCCCAAAACAAAAGTTACTTTTCAATTTAGGAAGAATAAATGTCCTTTTTCAATATACAGTCTCTATATATTTTTTAAATAAGTTAATATCTTTGAAAAAAGAGCAATATGTTCCTTTTATAATGTTGCAGTGCAACTTACAACTTACACGTCTGTGCAATGTACCATGAGGTATATGCCCAGTGAAAAACACACAGTGAATTTTATTTCCATTCATAAATTCTCATGGTCCATTCATAAATTCTCATGGTCCATTCATAAATTCTCATTGTAGACACACAAAAAGTTTAACATTTAATCTGTGGTAGAAAAAAAAGAAATGCAGCCAAGGACACACCCAAAAAATATTATTTCCCCCACCCCCCTAAAAACAAACAAAACAAAACGGAAGGAACATTCATTGCTTCTACAAATTGGTGATTGCTTCTTGACATAGAGCGAGGAGAATTAAAAAGACTTTTGTGAACTTGGAAAAACTTAAACCAAAACACAGAACAATCTGAATTATCCAGAGGTTGAAATTTAATTTTGATGGTCTGATTCTGCAATCCCATAGACGCTTACCGATGGAAACAAGATCCCATTGAGGTCAATGGGGATGGACTTTAAAAGACACAGATGATGGCTCACACTGTCCCCATTTTCAGTGGAGCTGTGGACACAACAGTTGTTTTCACAACAACAACAAAAGGAAAGGTGTAATAGAGCTGAGTTGATTTTCCCCTGGTTTATAACTGGCTATCACCTTTTGAATTCTCTTTCCAAACTTTTTAAGGAAAACAGGGATGGAGTTAAGGTCACCCTTACAGATGTCCCATCCCTGAAAGCTTTCTTTCGATTCTTCCACTTTATGGGAAAACTATATCCAATGGAAAAAACATTCTCTCTATGAATAACATATTTATCAGTGACAAAAGACTTAGAAACAAAACAAATGTATCCTACAGTGGGATTAATAACAGTGCTACCTCATCTTCAGAAAACATTGGTTCTCCATATATATATCTTTTAAAATACAAGGCGCTCAAGAATGTTAAATTGTTGTTTGAAAACAGTCCAAGGGAAGGTTGGCTTAAAACCTCCTATTGCTACAGAAATTGTAAGAATGTTCATTATTTACAAAAGAAAGACTGTGGAGCTCTCTTAGCGCAGCCAACAAGAGACATTAGCATTAACTGAAGATTTCTGCCTCAAAAGACATTTATTTGATCTTTGGCTGGCAGGAAATCAGTTGTTATTTTAGAGAGGTTTGAAGGTGGTGGGGGAAAAAAACACATGCATTGTTTTTCCTTGTTTCCATTCTGTGGTTTGGAAAATGTTACATGTCATATGTACTGTGTATACCCAAGGAAGACAACCTTACGTTTAATACAACCCACGTTTTAACCAAAAACGCCCTTCTTCCATTACCACAGTTCAATTTAAAAACATTTTGAACAATTGGGCAGGGTGGAGACCCTATTCTTCAATTTACTGTTAAATACAAATTCCTTTCCCTTATTCTTGCCTCTTGCAAGCCTTACTTTTTGCGTTTAGTTAAGCCATGGTTTGCTGGGACATCCAAGCTTAGAAGCAATGGTTTGAGACAGCCTTCTAAATAAAGCCAATCGGCGATTTGTAATGTCATTAAGAAGGATGACTCAAGCCATGGTTGGACTAGTTGGGTATCAAAGTTAAAGCAGAGAATGATGTCCCTAACCACAGTTTCGAGGTCTAGCAAAATATGGCCATCAAAA